ATATATATGTATACGTGATCAATGTTTTCTTAATCCCATTACTTTCAAATCATGTTTCAGTTTATTGTTTTGTATATGTCGAATTTCTAGTTCATATGTACATATATTTCTTGTTAAATCCAAGTGGCAAAGTAGTCAATAAACTGATATTTCTATAATCTAACTTATAAATGATATATTCATTTAAATTAATGCAGAATCATATCGTTTAAGTTAATTCTGCATCTCCCGTTTACTTAATGACACTATTCACTACTTAGTTTCCAATCAAAGTGTCCAACACACACTAATGCAGGAGATCAGTCGCGAGCCCAAATAGCTCAATGATAACGTCTCAGACTGCAGTAACACGAGTTCGAATCTCAGAAGAGACATGAGTTCCCAGAAGATTACAGATACGCCTTGCCAACAACGGGTGGTAACTAGCATGAAACCCAGGTTCAAAGATCCCTACCGGTTGCCTTTAAGCATCTAAAAACAACAATTCCGAGTGCACCATGATGGTGAGCCATTTAGCATGGTGGCCGCATTGCAGATTTGACTGACAGAATTCAGTGCACACCAAACAAAGGACTAGCTAGACGCATGAAACTAGTTACTATCAAGTGTCCAATCAAAAAATGCTTGGTCTCCGTTGATATGTCGGCTCCTAGTGCGGATGCTTTGACAATGTCTGAAGATTAACAGGGCTTTATTTAGTTGGTGGTGGTGGTGACTAGCAGAGGAATTCAGGATGCGCATCCAGATGACGAGTTCCAAACGGGACGCAACGAGCAACTTGGAAAGTATATATTTGTATAAAAGATTACTTGTTTTAAAAACGTGAAATTACAATAATCATAAAGAAATAAACGACTAACTTAGGTGGCATACAAAACCTCCTTCTAACTAAGCATAATTTAATCATTTAAAGTAACCGAGTTGTCTTCCACTCTCTGAGGACCAACTCTTTGCCACTCGCAAGTGTTGACTTGCACGGATGTGGTTGGTTACAAATTAGACCGCGGAATTCCTCCATTTAGAGAACCACTGAACAATTGTAACGTTCTGCTTCACAGAAGTAACTGAATAGTCAACGAAGTTACTCTCTAAATGGAAGATTCCAGGTACGATCTCTGGTGGGGTCGTACTACTAGACAGTCTCAAAGTAAGATGAAACAGCTATTCAGTATACCCTCGCTTCTAATGGTTCTCCAACTGACGTCAGTTCACGATCTTACTTGAAACTTTATGATTTCGATCAGTGGGGGAAGTTATGAATTACTATTATTATTGCTGTCTCACTTCCATGCAAAGTTCTGTGTTGTCCTATAAAATGTAGACATTAAATAATTTTCAGTTCAAGGCATTGAAAAAGATATTACTACAGCTTGCTGAAGCAATTGAAATCAAAAGTTTTCAAACAAACTTATGCATAGAGAAGAAGAGTATGGTTAATCTCTCACTGACTTCGGTAGCTGTATTTTGATTTCGACTGTATAGCCATTCATATTGACGATTTCAGCTCACTGAACTAAGTTCAACCTCATGAAGTATAACTTTGTTGATTTCTTATATAACCCAATGAGTGAACACTGTTAACACGTTTTTTCTCTCTCCGTTTTCTGGCTTCTCTTCCCCCTCCTTCGTTTTCTACTTTCTAATGTGTGAGAATTGACGATAAAATGAATTAAAGATTGTAGAATTTGATTTACTTTAAGCTTATCACGGGTTGGTATCGGTTAAAAAGCCATTGAAAGCAAAGGACTACCGGATAGTTGTTTCGTCCTAGTTTGGGACCTTCCAGGAGTAGGCCCCTGAGACCCCACTGCGGACCAGACCCAAGATATCTAGGTTACGAGGCGAGCTCGCTGAAAATTGAGCCACTCGTACAAAGTTCAGTGGTCCTAACTCATACCATCTCACAATTTTAGTACCATCGCCAGCCAATGTCATCAGCAAATATTTATTCCATTAACCAGGACTCCTGGTTTTTCCCCCATTAGGAGTCATAGTTGAGTGTTGCTGAAGAGTCCCAAATCAGAGCGAAACAACTGCACAGTACTCCCTGGCTTTTAATGGTTCTCTGACCGACACCAATCATTGTTCAAACCTTGAATATTGTGTCCTAATTTATAACACTCCAATATTCAAATGACAAAACAAGAAAAATATGTTTGTTTTTTCAGTTCCTTATAAACATTGTCAGATGGCAAGAAAGCATTTGCAACAAAGAACTGGGGTGGAGAACTAAACATGCACACATCACCCATTATAAATGCGAATAGGAATGGAGATAGATTAGACACACTCTGAGGCCACCTTTGAATGACACCATCCACAAAGTCCTCGAGTGGAACCCGATCGAAAAACGAGGTAAGCGTGGATCCGAGGGTGACATGGAAGAGATCGCGTGGAGTGGAGATGAGAGTCTATGATTAATCGTGGAGCCAGTTAAAAAGGACTCCACAGAACAGGATGAAATGGAGATGTGCTGCTGAAGCCCCAAGGGAATAATAATAAAACCACTGTAATTACAAGCAGCCTGTAGATAATGAGAACCTATGAAATAAAATGAGGTCATTATATACTGCAAATTCTGTCTCACTTGTTTTATCTACATTACTTATTAGTAGAACCATATGTGTGTGAAATATTCGGAATTTCTAACAGAGTGGACTTATCTCCTATCTACACGAAAATATAAGTAAATATACCCATGACCCCGACAGGGAATAGAAACGAGGAACATCAGATTACGAGGCAAGGGCTCCGAAAACGGGTGTATTAAGCTATAAGTCAAGTTTTCAATGTGACTACCATTCCAGATGACTCGCCCTTACATTGCATTCTGGATTGTTGTTATCAAACGGTTGAAGACAATATATCGGAAGCCTGATAGAGTACAGCTCACAGCAAACGAAAGACTAGATGAACAACATCAGTTACTACCTCCAGTGTCCAATCAAATATATGGCATGTCAATGCAAAAGGGGTGCTGCCAACAATTATACATCTCATCCAACAGATGTACGATAATGCTGCATGCCAAGTAATCCACAACGGGAAACTCACGGAATCCTTCGAAGTGAAGACGGGAGTAAGATAAGGCAGACTGGCTGCCTACTATCTCCAATGATTTTCCTGATTGCCGTAGACTGGATAATGCAATAAACAACGGGTAGTGAGGAAACAGGCATAAAATGGACCCATACAAAAAACTTGTAGGATCTGGACTTCGCCGATGATATATGTCTGATTTCCCACAAACTGGAAGATATGCAAGTGAAAAGCAAAAAGTTGGCGGTAGAAGCATGAAAGATAAGCCTTCAGGTGAACATAGAGAAAACAAAGGTGATGAAGATTCCTCACCAACAGCAACAGCAACAACAACAGTAGACAACAATCAGCATAAATAGGAGAAATATGAAAGAAGCAACTTCCTTTACCTACCTGATAAGCGTCGTTTCAACTTTGGGCGGACGGAACTGATGAGAATATCAAAGCGAGGATCGGGAAAGAAAGGCAAGCTTACATTTCTCTCAAGTCTGTGTGGAGGTCAACAGCACTCAGTATGAAAAATAAGATTCGGATTTTCAACTCTAATATGAAGTCAGTGCTACTATACGGATCAGAGACTTGGTGCCGCGCCGCGTCATGAAGGGCACCTCGAACAAACTACACACCTTCATCAATAGCCGTGTTTGCTCAATACTCAAGATCAGATGGCCTGCCAGAAAAGATCAGCAACAGAGATCTCTGGCAATGAGCGAACCAACCAGGAACCGATTGTGAAGCAAATAGGCAGGAAGAAATGGAGGTGGATTGGCCCTACTCTAAGAAAACAAATCATCTAGTGAGTGACATCACACGTCAGACCATCACTCGAGTGGGAAGCAGCGAGTTGGTCGTCAGTGCAAGGGTGACTTGGAGGAGATCGTGTGAAGAGGAGATGAAAGCATGTGGGCAGACATGGAGCCAGGTGAAAATGTTGGCAGAGAACCAAACGCAATGGAGACGTGGGGCTGAAGCCCTATGTTACTCTAAGAACTAAAGGAAACAATAAATAATAATAATAACAATGCAAAAGGAATTTCAAATACATTTAAACCATCTTGCGTATCACAGGTTTAGTGGCAGAATGCTTGCCAATCACCCATCTGGTACGGAGTTCGATTCTCAGCCAGTAAAGTAAAGTAAGACCAGTAAGCAGAGTGAAAGTTGTGTGTGTGAAGTTTGCAACCCCACTCCCATTCGGCAAAAATAAAAACCCACTGCTACTGAAACTTCGATGTTCCACTCGGAACGAACGAAGGAGTAAAATCATCAAGTAATAATAATAATAATAAAATAATGATAATTAAACTATTTTTCAAGGTAAATAAGACATGATACCGCATACATTTAGACAATCTATCCAGTAACTCATCGACAAGAAATGAGGTGCTCACAGACACACACACACACACAAACGCACACATGCACAACTTGCAAATTAACAAACTTACACGGATAATAATGATGATAACAGCATGAACTATTTTCGTTAATAAACTGAACTTAATTTATTTAATAACAAAATTATTTAAACAAACCAACAAAATATAATAATAATAATATACAAAAAACGAAAACAGAACGATGCTGATGATAGTGATGGTATTAATATTAATAATAATAATAATAATAATAAACCAACAGAACGAAAAATTTCAGAAATCAAAAAAGAAGTCAAATGGTTTGTGTTAGTCAGTTCTTCTTCTGTCTCTCCGCCGCCTTCTCCTCCTCACTTCCCTTTTACGACAAGCAGAATATTACAGGAGGAAGAAAAAAGAGACAGGCAAGTGGAACGTTGAACAAAAGTCAGAGTATTCGAAAGAAAAGGGGACGAGAAATATTTCAATGAATTCCTCCAATGGGGTATGTCAGCGGCGGAGAGACAGAGACAGACAAAGAGTGGAAGAATACCAAATAATAATAATAATAATAATATCACATTAAAGAATAGAAGACAGAAGAGCAAAATTAAATGTATATATACGAATAGGCGCGCACAAATGTAGACGAAAATGAAAAGAGACTAAAGAAGAATTGGATGATCAAGATAATATTTGGCGTCAATTTTTTTATGAATTATTGTAGTGATGTGTACAAATGTGTACAAATTACCAGATGACAGATGAATACTATTCCCAATCGACAGATATAGAGAGAAATAGGTTGAGAAGAGACAGAGGACGTGAGCAGGAAGGCATTGAGAATAGTGTATGTATGTATATATAGTGCTAGATGAGATTCATACCCCGTTTATCAAAAAAAAATGTCACAAATATACCGTATAATATTCAATAGTTTAGACATGTTTATTGCATTATAATGAGACTCACCGTAAGTAATAATAATAACAATAATAGAACTAATAAAAGAGACCACGTAAGTGTCAGTGGAGCTGAGAAACGATACAAACGATGCAATCAATAGCCAACGTCAGTATTGCATAGATATATGAGCGAGCATACACATGTGCTCAAACAAACACAAGTACATTATGGAAACAAAATGAAGAAGGAGGGGACGCAGTACATAAGTCAATCGATATGCACACACACGCGCGGTGTGAGAAAATAAAAGTTTATAAAGAGAGAGTCATTATATTTACCACCAGTTGTGTAACAAGAAAGATGAGGAAATACAAAAGGAAATTATGAGATTTTTGTTTTCTGAAACAGTAAACAAAAAAACAATGCCCTTCTAATGCTGTTGTTTTTATTGTGTTTCTGAAGACCAAAACAAAACAAAACAAAAAATAGTCACTGTGAGCAACATCAACAAAACAAACAAGCAACAACAACCAACAACAACTGAAAATGAGATTTACAGGGGGATAGGAATATTACAGACAGTTTGTTGTTTGTTCCTTTTTCTCCTTCGTCTTCTTCTTCTGTATCTAAGGTTTTACACACCTAATTACACTTTATTGTATTTATATTTATATATATATATTGCATATGAAGAATGCGTATAAAACAAAAGAGAAATGGCGAAGACGCGGAAAGTATTCCAAGGGAATGAAGAAATACTTTGAGATTTCCTGTTTTTGTTTGTCTGTCTTTCATTTACACTGAATGCTAAAACGAAAGCCAACACGGAAGAGGAGGAGAAGGAGAAAGAAAACAAAACAGACAGGGAAACAAACAATTAGCAAATACAATCAATAATGAATTTGTGTGCAGATAAAAAAATCAATAACATTAAATTAAAACAAAACTAATCATGTAACATTTATTAATACCTGGGAGGAAAGTGTATAACCTATGCAAAACAAGCAATTACAATTTTCAATAGTTGGTTTGTAAGGATTAGATTTGTTTTTATGAGTTGATCACGGATTGATATCAGTTAGAGAAGCATTGAAAACCAGCACTGGAGTACTAGACAGCCAGTTGTTTCATCCTAGTTTTTTGGGAATCATCGGCAATACGCACCCACCACAGGCGGTTCGAATCCAGGACCTGCCGGTTATAAGGCAAGCTCGTATACCATTCAGCCACTGGGACCCGATTCAATGGCCAACCCATAAATTCTAACTTCCACCAATTCGATGACATTGGTTGGTGATCGCGCTAAATCATGAATTCGCAGAAGTTAGAATTCATGGGCTGGCCAATGAATCGGGTCCCAGTGGCTGAATGATACACGAGCTTGCCCTGTACCTGCAAGGTCCTGGGTTCCAACCCTGACAGTGGGGTGCGTACTGCCGATGGTTCCGAAACTAGGATGAAACAGCAGCTGTCTAGTACTCCCTGGTTTTCAATGGTTCCCTAACTGATATCAATCCGTGATCAACTCGTAAAAAGCAATTAGAAACAAAGTGAATAAAGTCTGACTGATGCCATAGATTTCCACGATCGAAATCCACCTATCTACTGGACACTTATTTTAATGCTTTGCGCTTCCAGAAAGGATTGGAAACAAGGAAATGTGGGAACAAACCAACCAAGAATCTATCAACCAACAACTATGACGAAGCACATGGACATGGATCCGATACACACCGTGGAGACAGCTGGCCGAAACCGCGTGACAAGCCCTAGAATGGAACCCGAATTGGAAACAGCGAGCTGGACGTTGGTCTGGAGGTGACACGGAGGAGATCATTTTAGCAGGAGATAAGAGACTATTGACAATCGTCGGGTCTGCTAAAGATGATCGCAGAAAATACGACAAAGTTGAGATGTGCTGTTGAAGCCACATGTTCCACTCAGAACCCAAGAGGACAGTTATAATAATGAATAATAACTGGATTTCACGCCTTTGTAGATAGACCACAGGACCATTGGTTTGAGCAAATTCGCAATTCGGCAATTTACACAGTTGTAGGAGGTGAAGTTTCACCAGAGATCAGGTGGTTTGAACCGATTCAGCCCTATGAGCTCAGTCAAACCGGGTACACCACTGATGATATAGAGTGAAATGGCCATCGAGCGTTTACATCAATCTGACCTGGCAGGCAAGCACTACTGGTTGATGTGGTTGGTATACAACTAACTACTTATCTCAGCCAATCAGTAGTATACAGCTATCAGCTATCATTTCACATTCAAACAACAATTTTAAAAACACTAACTTACCAAAGGTAATCACAGCCGGTAGGAGAAGAGTATACAGGGTAAGAAAAAAAAAGGAGCAAGAGTTCAACTGCGTTCTGTTGAATTCACTTTAGAATGATTCTTCAAAGTAGTAGAAGACGAGGAAGATGACGAATTGTGCTTATTACTATTATTATTATTCATTCTTTTATTTTTCTTTAACTTTTGTTTATTAACATTTTTATGATGAATGCCTTCATTTGAATTATCATTATTTATATGAACACTTTGATCAATAGAATTATTAATATTGTTATAATTTTGTTTTACTGTATCAACAGGAAATAAATTTCCCGCCGATTGTACATTGAACAAGTCAGCATCATTTGAATTGTTCAATAATTCATGTTGATTATTAGTTAGTATATTTGGTATAATACTATTAGAAGTATCATTAGATAAAGGAATGGTTATTAATTTATCGTCTTCATCCCCATCTTCAGTTAATTCATCAACGGATAATTTTAAAATTCTATCATTCATATTTGTTATATCCATGATCTGTGCTGTTGATGATTCTGTTGTTGTTGGTAATGGTTTAGAGTCCATGGAATGATCAGTCAATTCATTTAAGGGATCATCATCGCCATCAATGGAATTTATTGTATACTTCAGATGGTCATTCATTTCTTCAGCACCTTCATTCCCACCATTCACTTTACATGCATCACCTGAGATATTGTTATTACTATTACTAATATCATTCTCATGAACGGGAGTACAATTGTCTGTTGCTATTATCATCTCTTCTGAATATTCTGTCTTCTCCACTGGTAATACATCGTGATTACTCATTATAGATTGATGATCATTATTATTACTAATATTATTATTATCATCGTTATCTATTGGACTGGAGATATTCGTGATGAATGAATCAGACTGTTCCGATGAGACAGACTGATTGACAACATCTGCAATTGGATTATCATTATCATTATTATTATTTATGGATGTTGTTGTACTACAGTTTGTATATGCGACATCTTTACCACTACTACTATTATTACTGCTGCTGCTAATATTATGATCATTACTGGTATCATTGTTATTATTATTATTACTATCTTTATTCGGCGGTTCTGATTCAAGACGATTCCGTCTCAGATTGGCTTCGATATTTTTAACTAAAGAGTCAAATAATTCCTTGTCCTTCTATAATAAACAAAAACAAACAGACATAGATGAATTAGAATGTTTAACTGGTATAATATAAAATACTGTTGTAGATATATGCTATCACAGAATCTCGTAGAAAACAAAACATAACGGTGAGGAGCGAGGGTGGCAACAAGATTACGTAAGTCAGTGTAGAAAATTGCTAATAAACAAATGAGAGATATGGAGAACCGTTGTGAGTTAAGCTCATTTAGTTACGATATCCGACATATGAGGCATGATGATATTAGATAGTTGGAGGCAATCGGCCACAGGAAGCCTTGTCTGACCTAGGTTTCGTGCTAGTTAGTTGGCACTCACCAGTCAGCAGGGCGTGTCTGCAACCTTGAAGGAATTCATGTCCTTTCTGAGATTCGAATCCACCTTACCCAGTGAGTACCGCGCAGTCAGAGACGTTACTACTGAGCAGCTATTCGGGCTCGCGATTGACCTCCTGTAGGACAGTAGTGGGTATTTTTATTGGACATTAGTAACTAGTGTGACGTGTCTAGTCCTTTCTTTGGTGCAGACTGAATTCTATCAGTCAGGTTTTGCAATGTGGCCAGTGGTAACGTCTCTGACTGCAGTATTCACTGGGTGATGCGGGTTAGAATCTCATAAGGGACATTATTTCCTTCAAGTTCGCAGATACGCCTTGCTGATGAGTGCCAACTAGCACGAAACCTAGGTCCAAGGCTTCCTGCCGATTGCCTCCAACCATCTAATGTCTTTCTCTGTGTTCTACATGGAGTGTGACCACTTGAACTGGTTTAATTCTGTGCAAAGTTCTGAGTTTAAATTCAGTCAGCTTAGTCGTCATACACAATAAATCGTTCTTATATAGCCCAATATATATACACACACACCTGTATCAGGTTGCTGGTCAAGTTGTAGTCACTCACATACTCCAATAAAATGAAATATGAATACTCTACACTTCAACATCAGCGTCTTCAATTTTTTAAAATATTCATTTTATTTTAAGAAAAAGAAAACGTCACTTAACCTTAAACGACCCTGTGGCTGTATTTTCCCACTGCACATATATATATATATATACATATAGACATACATACATACATAAATGACCAAATGTTTTATAAACTTTCATCATATATGTATAGTATGAGTATTGTTCAATAGTGTTAATTGGTGGTAAAACACTGACCTCCATTTATAGAAAAATACAGAAATACGAAAAAGACACCAACTACTCAGTGTGTTGAGAAAACAACGGCATAAACAAGTCAAGGCAGCAAGCATAAAGAAAATAAAAGGTGGGACATATCAAACAGTGAATACAATGATGAAGGCATAAGAAAAGAAAACACGTATATAAAAAGAATTAGAAAAGTCTGAAATCTATAAGAACTGATTGACAACTGCATACACATGCTTCAAGTCTATAATGACAGACTTCATCGACTAGCACCATTGGAAGACATGAGAAGATTAGCTGTCTTCAATCATAGGTGCCTGCGTTCTATCTACCGTGTGAAGTGGTATAATAAGGTGAGCAATATTGAGGTTAAGCTCCGGTCGAGTGCTAGGTAAGGAGGGAAAATCAGTCGACGAGACTGTGAAATTACATCAACTGAGATGGTTAGGACATGTGTTACGTATGCCTAGTCATCGCCTTCCTCGACAATGGGCAATGCAAGCTGACATAGGGTCAGTCTGGAAAAGAGCTAACGGCGGTCAAACCAAAACATGGCACCAGTCAATGAAATCTACAACAGTTAGTCTAGGCCACGTAGGAAGGTGTAGACTTCCTGACTAGTTGGGGTCCTCGGGACGGTAAAAACCAATGGTTGGAAACAATTGGTGACATGGCTTAAAATCGTTCTCAGTGGCACAGATGCATCCACTCCTTGTGACTTATGATTTCCAATGAAACTGTTTTGTTCTGCGTTATTACTATTCCTTTGTCTCAAACCTCTGTTTACTGTCTATATTATGCATTTCTCGTACTTTCTTCTCTTGCTTTGTGTGCTACATGGATTGTGGCGACTTGAACTGCCGCACATATGTGCAAAGTTCTATGTCGAAAACCGACCGACTAGCACCATAACATTTTCTCAAAAACACTGTTGAACTTTTTCTTAACTACAAATCAGGACATGTATAGAGCAAGAGTGTGCACACCGATGCACTGTAAACCCGAAACTTTCACAGCCAAACTGACGTTACGACAGCGCCAGCTGTGGTTCAAATTAGCGTATTCGAACTTGGCTTTCATGATACCGTTAGTGGTCTCGTCCGTCACACAACCACTTAGACATACAAAAAGGTCAACGACTTCAAGAGCATCACCTGAAGGGGTGGATGAAAGTACAGGATCCTGCTAATCTTGCAACAGTAATTTGTGCCGTCCAAGCGCAAAACAAATACCACACTTACAGATACTGATAGTCAACTGATTAAGTACTATTTGAGCAGACTGCATTCTATGGCACGGGAAGACGAGATCGTCTGCAAAGATCAAAGTCGGAATGTCTTTCTCCAGGAAGCATATCTACATCACCATGCACATGTTTCAAAGCTCAGAATGTTATCGATGGCAAAGGTTAGTGAGAAATGGAGAGATCGGGCAATCCTGTCTAACCCCACTATTGGTTGGGAGCAATGATGACAGCCGGTTGTACGTCCTCACTCTACCTGAAATGTTTCTGTATAGGGTTTTCAGGATGTTAACAAACTTCTCAGGTACACTTCTCCCTAAAAAAAAGTTTCAGGCAGCAATTCTACTCAACGAATCGAAGGCACTCCCAAATATCAAGAAACACCAACTGTTGACCTTCAGTACGTGTGGCAATGTTCCAACAACTGACTAAGAGTGAACATATCATCAATGTATCCATGGCCTCAACGAAACCCAACCTGCTCCTTGAGGACCAGTTCTTCACATGTTCTGCACAGCCTGCGAAGCAAGAAGGCAACCAATATTTTAGATGTCGACCCTTTTTAAAGACATGCACAATGATGACTTCATTTCACATTGATAGAACATGCTCAATTTCTTCTGCTTTCCTGAACAACCCAGTTAACGCACTGACGAGAATGTTGCTACCATCTTAAAAAACGCCATCGGTAGGTTGTCTAGAACAGGTGCCTTAAAAAGTTTCAAAACTTGAAGTTCCTTTCAGACATCCGCTTCGCTTGGTGGATCTGTAATGACCGACGATGGAGCACTGCAGTTAGTGATGTTGCACATGTTATTATACTCGCTGTTTGCCGAAATGGACCGGCGCTCATCTAGAAGTTGCAAGGAACTCGCAGAAGCCTAACGGATTTTAGGGGAGCATTCTATAAGGCTGCAAACGGCTTCGCTCGCCACTTTCATAACGTCTTATGGCTGTAGCCAATGCTCATCCATACTATTCGGAGTGTTGATAGCTAGCCCTGAGTTCAACTCAGTCTGTTACTTCGCAGAACTAGAGGAATGACAAAACAATCAATAAAGTTTAATCTCCTTAAAAGTAGGTAACATTATAAGAACATCATATGGGTATAAAAAGTTTAATTTTTTTTTTAAAAATTAGAATGAAACAAAAGTGTAAACTTACATCAGCTATATACAGTTCACTGCTCAATAAACGACGTGCATCTGTAAATAGACTGGTCAATGTTCTATTGATGTACAGTGTTTTTGATAAAGCCATTAAAGAGGCTAAATCTAATTCATTATTACGTATATCCAAATGTTTTAAACATTTAGATTCAGTAAGGAAACTGGATAGAGCAAATATGCCTAAAGTGTAACATACACAAGAAGGAAAAGAAATATAAAGAAGTAACACATCTATTACGTAATCTCATATTGATACATAATATAACAATAAAAGAGAATATATACGAAATTCAGCATACAGCAAAAGTTTTCAAAAACTACAACAACAAAGTTCATAAAAGCAATTAGTATTTGATTGTTGTTTTCACACATAATGGAAAACTTAATACTATTGCTGTTTAAGTAATTAACCTTATTAAACTGAATACCCCCGACACATATTCACAGGAAGCTTTGTTTACTTTGAATTTGGCATTCATTTGGCATTTGCATAATCAAAGAAGACCTATTGTACAGTTAGTCAGTTCATTAGCTACAACTCACTTATTTAGTGCCGGGCTATGAGGCATACTTACGGTGTGACAGCTGAAGATATCACCCAGCTGCCTAAGCTGAAGTCGGTGAGGAGACATTCGAACCTGAAACCTATATATATATATATATATATATGCAAGAGGTTATTTATTTTTATTTTATTTTGATTTTGATTTACAGCTTGATTCCACACAGTATTTTCAGTACAAGTGTGGAATTTTCAGCATGGATATCGGTAGCCCAAATTCAGGCCGACCATAGATATCGGGTGTGCGCCGGCAGGGGATCGAACCCCGGACCATGTGCATGGTCGGCGAGAGTCCTAACCACTGTGCCACCGACGCACAAAAGTAATGAGTTGGCATAATCACAGATGTTAATACTAGTCAAGGCATTAGGGGAGTTGAACGACAGTAACAGAATTACGTAAAAAGCGAAGTAATTTAAATGAGTCAGTTGCAGTCAGGGTGCACATAGATATGTTCGGAAATGCGAAGTCATGTAAGACGTCGAAAAAAATATAAGGATGATAAAGGGGTGGAAAAAAACCGACAAAATCAAATTAGTAGATAACAACAAAGCTGTTACTATGATAGCCGAAGTAGTTGAATAATTCTCTTTTGTGTGTATAGCTCCAGTCTCTCTATCTGAATGGCTAGAGCTTCAGCAATTTACAGGAGACGAAACCCACTACTGACTTTCTGTAGCCATGTGGGATAGTGTTGTTGAACTTCAAACGACCAATATACCCAGCTCTACAAAAACCCATGAACTGACATACGCCGACATATTGTCCTTCAAACTTCTGCGGACTAATGAAGGACTGGAGAACACCACTCTTAGCATTCCTGAGAAGAATGATCTCAAAGAGGATGAAATTCTTATCTTAAGGAGTCTCATTTGAAATCCAGGTTCATGTAAAGCCTTGTTATTGGAACAAGTAATGTTTTGTGCACCTCAGAACTTTTGGTTTGATACTCTTGTCAGAGCATCTTGGTGGATATCTATTTCCTCCAGAAGATCTAGTTCTGCGTTTAGGGTGTCTTGACTACAGATGTGTCCGATCCAGGTGGCAATCTACAGAAACTTTTCTTGTGTATAACCGTATCAAGATAATTAGTGCGTCCGTGTATCAATGGTAGAATGTTCGCCAGGCACACAGGAGGTTTAAATTCAATTCCCGGCAGATACACTGCAAAACCTTGACTAGCCGATAGTGAGTTCAGAAAAGAGAGAACATTGGACATGAGACTAGAAAATCCACCCCGTAAGATAAACAAGACACAACCACCAACACCACTGAAACTTCAAAGCTCCAAGCCACGTGTTCCACCCGGAACACCAGCAACGAATAAATGTATCGGGGCAATATTAGTTCGACAGAGACTTTTGTTGTATCCAGATATAAGCTGCAAGCCTTACGGAGTTATGGTTGATAATACTAACCAGCTATTCTGACTGAAATCGATAGATAAGGATTCAAACACGCAGACTAATTGTCTGAAAATAAAATGCCAACTTCAGTAATTACTTTTACACTACAGTGAAAATGAAGTAGGCATATGCCACAATTAATTGGATTTATAATCTCAGATATATTCCCTTGGCATCGTCATCCATAGACATATGATGAAAAGACGAAGACATTTTTCTTAGATAATATTTTCAATAACATTCATTCTCATGAAATAAAAACACTCAATCTAAATAAATCAAGTTATGCGGCGGAGGATGGGGAACCAGAGTAGGCCATTTAACATAATTGAAAATTCGTCTGTACAAACATTCAGCATCATAGACAAATATAGCATGAAAGAGCTTAAATTATAATCTCCTTTTCCATATTAGTATACACTCAGAAAATTTGTGTGCGCTGGTGGCATAGCGATAGAATGCTCACCAACCACGCAGGTGGTTCGGGGTTCGATCCCCGACCACAGACGCACTCCTTTACCTCGTTAAGCCAGTAATAAGACTGGTGAAGAGGAAAGGTTGGGAATGAGACTAGCAACCCCATCCTGTAAAAAAACCCACTGCTACCGAAACTTCAAAGGTTTAGCTTGAAGCCCTTTGTTCCACTGGGAATGCGAAGGAATAAAATAAATAAATAAATAAAATACAGAAAATCTGCAACCAGAAAAAAAAATTAAACTTGTGTACGCATTCTGGACTTTAATTCTGTCAGCTTTATTAACTAAAAAGTAACTATAGACGAGTTACATTTAAAGCACTTTCTCTGAACAAATATGTAGAAGGAAGTGGAAGTGGTTTGGACATCGCTGGAGAAACCGTCGAGTGACATCGCGCGTCAGGCGTTCCCTAAAGTGTTAACTGAAAAGGAAACGATACGGTGGGGGGGGGAGATCGTGTGAAGAGGAAATGAAAGCTTACAGGTAATCGTGCAACCAGCTAGAAAGGACTTCAGACAACAGACAGGAATAGCAATGAGTCGCTAAAGTCCTATACTCCAGTAAAAACCCAAAATAAAAATAATAATGATAGGTGCGACATAATAGCTTATTCTAAGACACTATTGTGTGTGCTACTGATAAGAATCCGTAAGAGTAGCATAAAGTGTGTTTTTTGCAAACGTCTTCAACACAAAAACGATTGATCATACACACTTGAAAGCAGGAGATGAAAAAGGACGAAAACATATTGAGGAATTCATTAGGAAGTAGAATACGAGTAATTTGTGCAAAGTGGATTTCAGAAATACACCCGTTACGTCCATGCTCATAACCAAACTACGCATATTTTTAAACGAGTGTACAATTTTCGATTTTTGTTGAAGTCAATTGATATTAAGCGAAGTACACATTCATAACCAACTTATTATTTCTTTAAGTAATAGTATGTGTATGTATACTGAAATACAGAAGCCCACCAGCTTTAATTTAGATGACGGACTGATTTCACTTAGATCCCGTCCGAGTAGCTGAATGGTCAACGGTCTCTCACCTCATAACCTGAACGTCATGAGTTCAATCTCCCGTGGGGCCAAGTGTGCCTACTGATGAAGAGTCTCACGCTAGAACGAAAGGGCTTTCCAACACTCCATTGTTTTCAATAGTTCTCAAAACTAACATCAATCCGCGTCCGTCAAGGATGCCCATTATATCCATTTCTATTCAACTTCATCATAGACGTACTAATGAACTTAACCCTAACACACTTCAGCGACTCAGGGATTGACTTGCTACCAGGGAATAATCTCGTTGACTTAGAATATGCGGACGATATAGTCCTTCTAGGCGAGGACGCTGACAAAATGCAGTCTTCTGAACACCTTGAGCTGCAATCTTCGTATGTTTGGCATGCGATTCGCCCCTGTAAAATGTAAGATGATGTTGCAGGATTGGACTACACCGACTCTTAGATTAGAAATAGGAAGTGAAGTGGTAAAGCACGTTGACCACTTCACTTATTTGGGAAGTACCATCAGCCAGTGCTAACGGGTTGATCTCCGACGAAATATCAGCACGAATACAGAGGGCTAGTTTCGCATATGCCAGTTTACGCCGTCTCTGGCGCAGACGTGACATCCGACTATCGACCAAAGGGCGTGTGTACTGCTCAACAGTCCGCTCTGTCCTCCTTTATGGCTGAGACATGGCCATTGAGAGCAGAAGACATGAAAAGATTAGCTGTCTTCGATCATAGGTGTCTGCGTTCTATCTCCCGCGTGAAGTGGTATAATAAGGTGAGTAATATTGAGGTTAGGCGTCGAGTGCTAGGTAAGGAGAGGAATTCAGTCGACGAGACTGTGAAATTACATCGACTGAGATGGTTAGGAAATGTGTTACGTATGCCTAGTCATCGCCTTACTCGACAATGGGCAATGTTAGCTGACATAGGGTCAGGCTGGAAAAGAGCTAGCGGCGGTCAAACCAAAACATGGCACCAGTCAATGAAATCTACAACACTTAGTCTAAGCCACGTGGCTTCCCACGTGGTGTAGACTTCCTGGTTGGGGTCCTCGGGACGGTAAAAACCAATGGTCGGAAACAATTGCTGACATGGCTCAAAATCGTTCTCAATGGCTGGCTGGCGCAGATGCATCCACTCCTTGTGACTCATGATTTCCAATGAAACTGTTTTGTTCTCCGTTGTTACTATTCCTTTGTCTCACACCTCTGTTTACTGTCTCTAATATGGATTTCTCTTACTTTCTTCTCTTGCTTTGTGTGCTATATGGAGTGTGGCGACTTGAACTGCCGCACATCGGCGCAAAGTTCTATGTTGGAAACAGACAGACAGCCATGCAACTACAAACCAATCGAGAACCGCTGCAAACCAACAACATCTGAAAATAGTAATCCTTTAGTTTTTATAATCGATCCGCATAAACTGAAAATTATTATCCCACTTGGCTGACAATCTCATTGCACTAAAGAATTAAGCACTTTTATTTTATGTAACCAACATCGTACGATTATTGATAAAAGTTGTATCAATGACCTACAATTGTGGTGCACGCATGTATATATGGCGATAAATATGTATACTTTTACGTACTATCGCAATTATTCAGCAAAATAGAAAATAGAATACTCGAATACAAACCTCGATGTGAAAATTAATCGCATATAACTATTAGTTAGCAAATACATATACACACACAAAGACAATATATGCGCCATCAA